TTATTATATACAATGTTAATAAGGGATTTTGTTTAATTATACCACTAAATAACTATGACGTTTTACACCCCATTTCCATAGATTTTTAGATCGATCTATCCCTGTGGGGAGTCTCACTAGATTACTGTCAGCTTGGCCGGCCTAAGCGTCTGTCCCGCCTACTAAAAGCTGTAAGGGGGTAATTAACTATGGTGCCCGCTCGGCTGACTGCAATTTAGCGTGAACCCCCAGGGAGTTAGGTCGATCTAAAACTTAATCTTTAGATCGATCTAAATCTCTGGGAAAGCACCCTTAGTGGCCTCCATGATTAAATCTTACGAACCAAAGGTCCCATATATAGTTTATTTCACAAGTGGCCCCAAAAAGCAACTGTAAGGACTGTTTTCATCTTCACTAAAAGTGAAATCCACCGCGCCTTGAATGAACTCCTCTCTGCTTATCAAACCATCGCGGCCAATATCAAACGCCTCAAAGACTGCCGCAGAATGCTCTGTCGGAATTCCAAAGCCGTAGAAAAATGCTCTGTGTTCCTTCGGGGAGATGAAACCGTCACCGTCAAGATCCATTGTATCAAAGTCATTGTTTACGAAACCAACAGCTAAATCGCGAAAGTTGGAATTTAGGGAAGCGAGAAGATTAGAAAAATAAACTTCCTCAGATACCTTGGAACTATCAGGGTCCCCGCCTTGAACAATTGCTTCCCAGATTTTCAAACGATTTTTCAGTAAATCCTGTGCCGATTTGTCTGAAAGAAACATATAGAAAACGCAAAACGAGATATTTGATATAAGAAATACTGGGAATGATTAATTTCTATTTACAAAAAATTAAATTAAACACACATTTATAATTATTATTAACACGTAATGTAATTTCACAAATGCATAAAAACAGTGTATCTTTAAATCTAAAACACGATCATCATTTACTGTGAAATTATATAATGTTTGTAATGATATTTATAAGGTCTTGCTGCGAGCTACTTCCAAGCACAATAGCGAGTCAAATATTTACTTCAGCTACTCGTTATTTGATGACATTAAATTAATTTCAGGGGTTTGTGTATTTACCATCAAGGTTCATGAAAGCGGCAATACGATGAGCAGTCATCTCAAAATCTCTTTTGGTCAGATATCCGTCGCGGTCTACATCATGGGCTCTGAAAAAAGTGCGGACTTTTCTTTTCCAGTGCTCCGATCCTGCCACAACCGGGTAGTCGTGAGGAGACTGGAATAAAATGAATAGAAAGAATAACTCATGAAAGAAAATTGCCCTAATTTAGAAGATACAATGGAATGAAATCCATAGCAGAACTTGCAAACTGCCATTTCTTTTCAAGGCAATAATATTGCTCAAAAAAAATTATCGTACCTTTTTCTGTCGTTGGAATATTAGGTTCTTCTGGTGTCATGAAAACTAACAGGCATTGAGGGTAACAGCCATAAAAACACGATATTGTGAAACGCAGCATTAAATAAGTGACATGGTAGCCATAACCAATGTTTTTTTTATGAAACGCAACATTTAACAAGGTACCTTGCTGTTATTGAAGACATTTAGAACAAGTTGATCCACGGAGTTATAGATCCGCGGACTTAATATGGCTGACCCCACTTAAAAGCAGCGCCGTCGCTGCAGGGGTCTTGCAATTAAGCCACAGTCCTATTAATTCGTTTAATGGCGCTTGAGGAGGCGGGGAAACCATCAGGGGATTAAGTGGTGCTGTTTTTACGAGGGATCCGCCATATTTGGTCTGCAGATCAGTTAGCCCGCGGATGATATGTTCAGAATGCGCCCCAGGATGCAAAAACTTCACGTAGCCTTATGGGCCAATAGCCAGTTATTTATCAAAGTGGTTTATACTGTAAACGGTATGAGCCAGTTATGAGAAAGGGATGGGTGAATCAAGGGAGAGGATCGACACCCTCATCCAAAACAAAACTCATCCCCCCTCAATGCACCATTTTCTTAATAACGATCAAGACACACTTGAATCCCACAGATGAACATTATATATATATATATATATATATATATATATATATATATATATATATATATATACTTCATACGCCTTTTAAAGTGTGACAAAAGACATTATCATATCATTAAAAGTGGATTTTCAGTGACTATCCTAATCATTTTAACTATTTTAACAATGCAGCATATTGTTGCTTGTATTTAATGTTATGGCCTTAGGGATAAAATTATTATATTGAAAATTCAATAACGCTCACCAACCTAATGAGTCAGCAAAGTTTATTATTTACAAAAAATTTGCACAAATTCTATTTGTGGGGTTGCACTGATGTCCACCATGCAACTCTTTGTGTGTGTGTGTGTGTGTGTGTACAGCATGGTGCTACTTCCAGTGTCAAAAGTCGGTCAACCATTATGGACAGTTAATGGACACTTTTAAAAACAAGATGATAAGGAATACGCGTCTGAGCTGTACAATTTGTTCACAAACAAAAGGGAACATATAGGGGTCGAAATTGTCTACGGGTAGGGTGTATAGAATATTAATAATGTACATTGCATCTACATACTGGCCTTTTAACAGCATAATTAATTCTCAAAACTTCAGGCATAATGAGATTCTCGCAGATGGTCTCAATAGACAGCAATATAACTACAGGCAGGGTGGACTTGAGTGTTGCTACGTGCCTAAATCACCTCTATTTCGAAATGCCAGTCACAATATAACTACAGGCAGGGTGGACTTGAGTGTTGCTACGTGCCTAATTCACCTCTATTCCGGAATGCTACATTTACGTCCGCCAATTGCAAACACACGCCTTCATCAATATGCCACTATAATATTCGATTTATTAATAATAATAATAATTGAATTGCTGAGGCGGAGGACTGCTCTCCGGAGTGCTTTTTTGTTGTAGTTGTTTTTTATTCAAAATTGCATGTAAAAGCAGTGAGTAAACACAATCCCTCCGGCCCGTTCGTATTTTAATTACTTGACCATTTATTTATTATCTTAATTTTATAACCATAGCTCTTGTATTTAAATTATTTGACAAAGCAAATTTTACACTGTTTTAAAAACTTCACCAGGACATATGCTTTCAGTAGACGCAAGGCAAGCACATACAATGAAATAAAACTAAAAAATACAAGTACTATTATAAATACTAAAATTACTCAGTCAAATCTAATTTGCATAAGGTGATTATTAGACAGGCACCAACAACGTTTCGTGTAAGGTGCTCCGTGTATTGTATGCTCACCTTTTTTATGAAAAGTGCCTTCTGTGTAAAACGTCGACAAAAGACGTCTTTTAATAGACGTTTCGAGAAAAGAATCCCCGCCATCAATTCCCAGGCGACTGCTGTACTCTGCCCAACTAAAATGTATACAAATTGAAGCATGTTAGGTGAGTAGCAATGTATGAAAATATGGCCATATATCATGTATACAAAATTTGAAGGCTGCATGCAGTTATACATAATTAAATGCAAGATTATCATAACAACGGACAACTGTTTTCGTTAACAGGCAAAATACTATCTGCATGGAAAGGCTACACATGAATGTTTATAACTGAAACTCTAAGTGACTACAATATTTGTTGTTAGAAAGAATACTTAAGCTTGAAATGGACTCATTAAATTTTAGCAATAACAATGGAAAAGTTTGGCGTAGTCAAACGACATTTTATGGTGACAGCAATCTCCAGAGCTTATTTACGCACATGCGCATTCTGCACACCCTCAGTTCTACCCTAGAGGGGTAGTCTCCATTTAGGCACATGTTGATACTTATTTATCATGCGGCGTCACTGACTGACCCTATTTTGCGCTCGATCCATTCTGTTAACGCGCACGATACGATTAAGCTAAAAGTTATCCCCAATCTTCAACTTAAATCTTCAGTTCAAATAATTTCGTCGGCTTGGAGGAGACATAAAAATCTAACGCTGAATAACACTGAAGATAAATTTGAATGTAGTATGGAAGAAATTGGAAATTATATAATAGAGTCACCTCAGGATCGGTTAGTGAATATGATACATTTGTATCGGGAAAACGCCACTTCACAAATATATGTGCAGTGTGACAGAATTCACTTACCTTTTGCTTACGGTGCTTTTGGCCAAGGTATGAGTACGTATGACTGACGCCCACTAAACTGGATTTTCTCACACTGATATCCACCTCCTTTTATGCAGTGGTCACTGTCTGCAGTGCAGTGTTAGTTCCAGTGTCACAGGCAGGCGACCTTTGTGAAAGCACAGCAATGGTGACCGCGGTCACTTTTTAGATCAAGATAATGTAGCGTGTGACATGTTTTGTTTGCAAACAAAAGGAACGCTAGGGGGTCAAAATATCGTGTTATAAAATGCTAGTACATATGGAAACAAAAAATAGTGTCAGCCATT